GTAAACAAAATATTAGTATAATTGTACAAGTCATGATATAATAATAACATGTTGGAAATTGTGTTAAAAAGTATCAATGTTAAGAACACATTATTAAACTCTTGTGGTAACAAAAAAAAGTTAACAAAAACGAACAGCCAAACAAAAACAAAGCACATAAACAAACTATTCCATAACTGGCATGACTGCAAATTGGTTACATTAAGAGTTACCGATACTTGGATGACGTGGCAACAATCAACCGACTTTTTCCCGCAAAGGAGAAATTGCGTACGTAGTGTTGGCTGGCAACAAGCCCCACACATCTCCCAATCTATCGCCATATCTGTCTGAGACAGCGGACCAATTAAAACGCTCAAAAGCGCCCAAGCAGAAACGCCACGTAAACCATGGTTTGTGGTCCACCTGTACACTGCGCGACTGTTACTTGAGGTAAATGGTGATCGAGGGGGGTGGGGAGAAAACGAGTAGAAAGGCTTTCGACAATCTGCAGGTATGAACCCAGCACATCCGATGGTAAACTGCCGGGAAGCAGGGTAGTGCGAATTTCACCTCATAAATCATAAAAAACGACCGGCCTCCCAACTCAAAAAAGGACCCCCCCCCCCCCCCCCCCCCCCCCCCCCCCCCCCCCCCCCCCCCCTCCCCCCCCCAATACTCGGCAGTTTCACATTTCTCCGATGGAGGCGACTCCGCGGCGCCTTCGCTTCCACCTCCGCCTCCTCTTCCTCGCCTAGAAGCAGCGCTGAATGCGGTAGGCCGATGAGAGGCGACGCCGCGGCGCCTCCGCTTCCGCCTCCTCTTCCGCCTCCGCTTCCACCTCCCCTCCTCTTCCTCGCCTAGAAGCAGCGCTGCCGTTGCCTTCCCCGCCAGTCGCGCGATCCTCGACGTCCGCGAATGAGCTCGCAGACGTCGCCACCGCCATCGCTAGAGGCAGCGAAAGGACGCGACGACTGTCGTCTGGAGTGGTGGAGGCAGCACAACGAGTAACCGCGGGCCAGGAGAGAGCGGGAGAGGAAGGGGTAACCACAGGGGTGTTCAAGCACGAGTTCTGGCAGCAGTGTGAGTTCAGGGGTGTTCAACTGTAGCAGCAGCAGCACCTCCAGTGCTCGTCACAATGGATCTAATTCGCCACAATTATGATTATCCATCGCTCCTCTTCACTGTCTGTTGATTCTTGCAGATTGGAGTTGTGCTTTCAGTCGAGCAGGTAAGACGGGCCACGTTCACACAGCCATAGCGCACTGGACCAACATCGCTGCTGCTACAGTGGCCTGCTGCATACACGCGCACACAGTCATAAAGATCGAAGAATGCATTTTGTGCGATTTCAACCATTGCATTTTATCGCTGCCAGCAATTCCGTGCGCAGTGAAACTCGGGGCGATATAATGGAACAGTGGAACATTGTAAAGGGACCCTTTCCTCTCCCTTTACCTCCCTCACCACCTCCTCTTCCTTTACCTCCCCCGCCCTCTCCTTACCTGTTCTCTTTCCACCTTACCCATTCCCGCTCCCATTACCCCCCCCTTTTACCCGTACCCCCTTGCTCACCGCAACACCAGGCCCACACATGTCGCCCTGCCATTCTCTCTCTCTGTCCCCCTCCCTTGCTCTTTATCCTTCTCCGCCTCCCTTGCTCTCTCTCTCTCTGTCCCCCTCCCCTGCTCTTTATCCTTCTTCGCCTCCCTTGCTCTCTCTCTATCTCTGTCCCCCTCCCCTGCTCTTTATCCTTCTCCGCCTCCCTTGCTCTCTCTATCTCTGTCCCCCTCCCCTGCTCTTTATCCTTCTCCGCCTCCCTTGCTCTCTCTCGCTGTCCCCCTCTCTTGCTCTTTATCCTTCTCTGCCTCCCTTGCTCTCTCTCTCTCTCTGTCCCCCTCCCTTGCTCTTTATCCTTCTCCGCCTCCCTTGCTCTCTCTCTATCTCTGTCCCCCTCCCTTGCTCTTTATCCTTCTCCGCCTCCCTTGCTCTCTCTATCTCTGTCCCCCTCCCCTGCTCTTTTTCCTTCTCCGCCTCCCTTGCTCTCTCTCGCTGTCCCCCTCCCTTGCTCTCTCTCGCTGTCCCCCTCCCCTGCTCTCTATCCTTCTCCGCCTCCCTTGCTCTCTCTCTCTCTCTCTGTCCCCCTCCCCTGCTCTTTATCCTTCTCCGCCTCCCTTGCTCTCTCTCTCTCTCTCTCTCTCTCTCTCTCTCTCTCTCTCTCTCTCTGTCCCCCTCCCTTGCTCTTTATCCTCCTCCCTTGCTTTCTCTCTCTCTCTGTCCCCCTCCTCTGCTCTTTATCCTTCTCCGCCTCCCTTGCTCTCTCTTTATCTCTGTCCCCCTCCCCTGCTCTTTAGCCTTCTCCGCCTCCCTTGCTCTCTCTATCTCTGTCCCCCTCCCCTGCTCTTTATCCTTCTCCGCCTCCCTTGCTCTCTCTCTGTCCCCCTCCCAAGATCTGCACCATGAGCTCTTTCTCACTCTCATTTTCTTACCCTTGCGCTCTCTCTCTCTCTCTCTTTATCATGTCGGTTGATCATGCAGTGGGGCGACTGTTCCATCACCGCACTTGGCGTCATCCCTTGTGACAGTCCAGCACCCTCCAGATTCGTCAAGGTATTCCAACCCGTTTGCGCTCCTCCTCAACCCCTTTCTCTCTGCCCCATCTGCAATCACACTGCCCCATTTGCAAGAACGCTGCCCCATCTGCAATCACACTGCCCCATCTGCAATCACGCTGCCCCATCTGCAATTACGCTGCCCCATCTGCAACCACACTGCCCCATCTGCAACCACGCTGCCCCATCTGCAATCACTCTGCCCCATCAGCATTCTCTCTGACCCATCTGCAACCACTCTGGAATCTCTGCATTTTTAGTCCACCAGTCTGCATTCTCTCTGCCCCATTCGCTCCCTCTCTGCCCAAACCTCCCTTCCTCTGCCCCATCCCCTTTCTCTCTGCCCATTCCTTGCATTCTCAGCCCCATCGGCTTTATCTCTGCCCAATCCCCGCCCTCTCTGCCCCATCTTCTCCCCCCAACTTTAGATGAACTACCTCTGCCCCAACTGCAAGCGATTCTCCTTTTTGACCCGGGCTGGCATGGAGAGTCACATGCGCGGTTCAACCTGCCCTGTCAACATTGCCATGTCGCATCAACCCTACCACAAGCAGCCATAGCTTGCACAAGCAGCCCCGCCACCAACCCATGGCCCCCAATCCCATTCCCCACGCACTCGCTTCGACTTCTGTCCCTCCCACAACATCGCCGCAAGGTGTTTCAGTTTTTCCTCAAGCTATGGAATGCACGGTCGGGGATGTTCCGCAAGTCGACAATACGAACAGCAGTGCATCTACCACGTGCAGTTCTAGTGATGCTGAAAATGTGAGCCTGCCTTGTGATGCGGATGATTATGTTGCGCATGATGACCACCCCGGAGTGGTCGGAGAGGGTGAGCAAGTTGAGTCATCATCCGAACCACCTTTCAACGGCAAGGACGCACTTGCCCATTGGTTGTTGGCGAACAACATATCCCAAAAGGCAATCAAGGCATTGTTTGACATACTCTTCCACCAAGCATTTCAACTCTCGCAGATGGTTGGATGGAAGTCGGCGCGGGATGTCCAACAATACCTTGAATCCCGTGCGCCCGATAAGCATCGAGGTTGGAGACGCAAGACCGTGCGCGCGCGAAACAAGGCCTGGGTCGAGTATTGGTATTGTGATGGCATTGTTGCGTTGCAAGACCTTCTGAAACACCCGAAACTGGCTTCCAAGATGACCATGGAATCACGTGTCGTTATGGACGGGGACACGCGGGTGTTTTCTACTCCAGAAACGGCTTTGTGGTGGGAGACACTCGAAGGGAAGATACGAGAAGTCAACCCGGAGGGTGTGGTGGCCGCACTCATTCTTGCAAGTGACGAGACACATATGGATCAGAGAGGGAAGGCTAAGGGTCATCCTGTGTATCTCACACTTGGGAATATTGACAAAGACGATAGGTGGAAGCCGTATGGGCATGTTTTGCTTGCTTTGCTCCCTGAATACCCCCAAGAATATGACTCTCTAGATAAGACACAAGTGTTTCATTATATTATGAATGAGGTGATGGCGGGGTTGAAGCGTGCATCCCATACCGGTGTAAATATGGTGGATGCGGAGGGCAAGGTTATCAATGTTTGGCCATCCATGTATGCCCATGTTACCGATTACCCCGAGTCGTGCAAAGTAACAGGCACAAAGTCGGGAACGACGTCGTTTCCTTGCTCGCTATGCAAGGTGCCAAAGGAGAAGCCCTCGAAGCTTACCGACCGCATCGTAGCACACACGCCATCGGAGCAACGTGCCGTTGTCACTCTGGTTGCTACACAGACCATCAAGGACGACTCCGATGAGTCATAATCCGTTGACTGCAGCATCAGGGTCAGCGATTTGTAGAAGTTCAACGCCCCATGGTTGTTTTCCATGGTGTGCAGGAACAGTACCAGCTCCCTCTCGCTCCTTGAACTGCACACCTGTTGGGGGGTGCGAACACAGATATGAATCTGTAAATGAATGCGACAAATTTTGAAAGCACAATGGACACACACAACACAAAATCATGCAACTGTACCTGGAAGCGCGTGGCGAAACATTTTGTCGAGCTGGCCCAGCCACTCTCGACACTTGCGCATGCGCTGACTCTTGTCATCCGGATACATGGTTGGACGGAAGATCTTGGCGCCGTTCAAATGTTCCAGATCCTCCAGCCGGTACTCCAGGCGTCCCTTCACCTCACGTGCGTAGTCCTGGCAGAGCTTCTTGCACGAGTAGTAGTCGTGGCCAGTTTTTTGGCCTTTGATAGGGCGCTCGTGCAGCACGAACACCGCCGCCGCTGCTGCTGTTGCTGTTATTGCTGCTGCTGCTGGTGCTGCTGTCACTGCTGCCGAGGCTGCTGCTGTCTCTGCTGCTGCCACTGCTGCTGCTACTGCTGCTGCCACTCCCCTCTTGCTCGCCCTTGTCCCCAGCTTCCCCGCCTCGCCTCCCCTTCCCCTCCTGCTCCGCTTCGCCTCCCCCCTCCCCTTCCCCTTCCCCGTCCTCCCTGGTGATGACCGCTTCTCCCTCCATCATAAGCAATACCAGGCAGGCAAATCCTACGCAGCTCCCCTCATGCACACCTGCACTCTTGCCCAACAAGCCCTGCACCTGCTTCTGTCCAACTGCAAGGCACGAGCTCCACTGGACCATTCTCCAACTCTCTGCAGCATACAGCCGTGTACAACCAACCAACATTCCATGCCCCACTCCTCTGCATGTACCGTATGGCTCCCCTCATTCTTCACACCCCTTGCCTCCATGCCTCTCCTCGATTTCCCGTAGACAGTCACAGTCAACCCATCCAGCACCTCACCTCCTTTTCCATCATCCCTCCCTACCACTCTACCTGCCTATTCGCCTGCGTACATCATCATTCTCGAACCGACCCCCGTCTGGCGTCCAGAGATATGTCAGCTTGATCAGGGAAGTCAACTGGCACAGCCCAACATCTGTGACTGCTGTCTCATACAACCAAAGTTTCTCGAGCCCTGTCAGCCTCCCCACATGCACCATACCAGCATCTGTCACACCCTTGCATTCACAAAGGCCCAGGCCTATAAGAGAGAGACCTGAAAAGTGCGACAAACCAGCATCAGTCACCTTGGTGTCCCAGAGATAAAGCTGCTTGAGACTGGTCAAGGACCCAATGCCTTCCAAGGCACTGACTGAGACGTCTGTACTGTTGAGGTTTAGCACCTCCAATCGTCGCAGACTGTAACGGTGCTTAATGCCCTCTGCACTGAAGCCCGAGCTTTTGTACAAGTGAATGATTGTCAGATTCGTCATTGTGGACACATGGGCGAGAATGTCGTCCGCGATGCCATGGAAATGTCTCAGGTCCAAATCAGTTTCATGTGATGCTGCCTTGATTCGCTGGAGGTCATGGATGAAGAGGGAATGAATGTTAGAAACAGGAATAATCATCGTGAATGCATGACCTGTCAAATCGTTCAAGCCTTGCGAAAACGTTCACACAGCACCCACCTCCCATGCAGTCTTCTGATCGCCTACACTCTGGCTGATTTTCAGGTCAACAATCAACTTCATGACAGCATCCTTCTGCTCAGCCAATTCCCACTTCACTGCAGCCAGCTCCTCTTCCCTCTCCTCCACCTGTCCTCTCATTTCCATCAAGTCTGCTGCTCTTCTCCTCTCAACCTCTTGCACCTCCATCCTCCTCTCCTCCCTTTCCCTTGCCAATCCTGCTCTAATTTCATCCCCTCGCTCTGTCACAGAGATCTTGAGTGCAGCAAGCTCCCCCTTCACTGCGACCAGCTCCCTCTCCCTCTCCTCCACCTTCCCTCTCATTTCCCTTATCTCCACCCCTCGTCTCCTCTCGGCCTCCTCCAACTCTCCCTTGGTTGCTGCCAACTCCATCCTTGTATCTTCCAGCTGCACGCTAAGCGCCCTCATTCTCATCTCAACTGCCTCACTCAATTCATGTGTTCTGGCAATGGCAGACTCAATACCTTCTCTTAATCTTGCCATATAGACATGGCAGCACATGTGAACACATACATGACAGCACATGCGAACACATACATGACAGCACATGCGAACACATACATGACAGCACATGCGAACACACACATGGTAGCACATGCGAACACTTTAGCAGTGAGCCGTCAGCCTTTGGCAGCACTGGAGATGAAAAGACGCTGATCACAATTTTAAATGATCAGGAGATATGTGGCAGATGCAAGGCATAACTCCAAGACAGTATTGCAACGGCGTGGGCATGAGATATTGGAGCACACGCAATCAACGGCAACAGTATAACATTCAGGATCATGACATGAGGGAAGAGGAGACACATGGGCATTCCAAGCATGCACGCATCAAGACCAGATGTGATAAAACGATGGTGAGGCGGGGCATGCTCACATAGGACTGCGCAGCAGAAAGAAGATCCCACGTGGCTGCAGCATGGTGAGGGCGAGGGGGGGAAGGCAGGATGAGTGGTGAAGGGAGTGGGGAGAGAAGAGGAGGATGAGAGACGGAAGAGGAACGCCCGCAGTAGGAGTGAGGGTAGGGAGGAGTGGGAGAGAGTGCTCTGAGCTTCGGAGAGAGACAAGGCTGCAGGGGTGGAAGGCAGAGCGCATGGCATACCAGGAGGCACTTGCTTGCACTTTTCAGCTTCATCAGCCCAGCCGTCACAGCCAAGCCCTGCTGATGCACCCATGCTCTGACTTGCGTGTGTGTCACGCCCATCCCCCACAGCAAAGTTCCGAGCGTAGCAATTGCAGAATACAGCAGGAGTATATGAACTGCACCCGGAGACTGCAGATGTGGGACAATTGAGGAGTAGGGATTGATGTGTGAGTGGGAAGAAAAAAAAAAAAAAGGGAGACATCCAAACAGAACTTTGGTTGCAGCCGCAGAGTAATGTCAACACGCACCAGGGTGTGGATTGAGTAAAGAGGCGCGTTGCGAGCGTGGCCATGCTCAGGGGCGGAGGAGACGGCCTTGATCTGAGTGGAAGGTAGGGTCGTGGCATTCTGAGACGTTGCAGTGACATTGGCCTGAGCGACGAATAAAATGCACACACCCACACACGTACACACAACACATCACGCAAGCACACAAGAAACGTAAAACAGCTCAGTCTGAGTCCACGATGTGTCAATTCTGCTGTCAACCATCGAAGTAGATAACAGACAGCATTCAACAGCCAAAGAATACATCAGTATGATGCTGGCACGGTTTGTACTTACATGGTTAAGTGAAAAGGAGAGCAGCATCGGGGGGTGGTTGACTTGTTGGCTGTCGGTGTCACGTGATTGCTGCAAGACGCGACAAAGAAAGGTGCACGTTGAGAGACGAGGCACGCAGCCTTGAAAATACAAGTTCGACGCGATATGGGAAACACGCACTGGGTGAGCTGGTTGGGGTGGGTATGGATTAGTTGACATGTGGAAGAGCAACGCAACCTGATGCATGCACCAACATCCGTCACCACTACTCACGTCCTCGGGAGATGGGAAACGGCAACCAGAAAACATTGCAAGTGGCATGATGCTGATGAATGCGATGGCAGCGCCGATAACAAAGCCAGCGAGCAGGCCTGGCAGCAGCATGGCCACTGCAGTCATCCGAGCCATGGCTGATGGGGCGAGCCCAATGCAAGGGGCGCGCCTGCACAGCTAGGTGCTGCAGGGAAAAGGGAGGGAGTGGGACAGCAAAAGCAAGGGAGGGGGGGGGGGGCACCCGGGCAGGGAAAGCAAGGGACAAGCAGCAGCAGCAGCAGCAGCAGCAGCAGCAGCAGCAGCAGGGAAAGGAGGGAAGAGGCGGAGCGGCAGGGAAAGGAGGGGAGGGACGGGAATAGCGACAGCAGAAACATAAAAAAGGTGGGTTACGGCAACAATAGGAGGAAAGGAGGGACGGGGGCCGAGTGCACGGGAGACGACGAGGATAGAGACAATTGGAGCATATGGGCATCAGGGTGACGTGAATGGTGGTGAGACTGGAGGCAACCAGAATTACTCGAAAGAAGGAAAAATCTCACAGCCACACACTATGTGTGGAGGGAAAATCTCACCCAAGTCACACAGATCTTAGAGGTACGTTGCTAAGGGCCAGGATGTTGTGCTAAGCACCGAGAGGGTAGCGCCGGAATGGGCTAGCACGAGGTGCGCGCGGGCAGCTGAGATGGAGAAAGCACTTTAGATGAAGCAATCCAGGTGCTTGTTGGGATAATAGAAACGAACACTCACCGTTCAGGGTTTCAGAAAGGAGCGAGAAGAAGGGGGGATCGCCGGGCAAAGTGCCGCATGTCTTAGAGGGCAACCATCGTCATGTCGACACAAGCGGGGTGAGGTGCGCTGAGAACCAGCTGCGTGTGGCCGAGAATGACAGCATACGGCAGCACTGGCGAGAGTGACTTAAAGCCATCATGACGTGATTTCATGGCGTCCCATGGTCGACGCTCTCGACCGGCGCACCGCAAGAGACACGACGACGGTATGCAGTGCGCGCGAAGGGCCAGGGGAGGGGAAAACGAGTCGGCATCATATAACACGACTGACGTGTTATAAATGTCAGACTGCTAATCGTCACATCAAATAAACTGTATAAACCGACCCGCCACGCTCGACTGCATAAACCGACACGCGACTCTCAAAAGGACTGCGTAAACTGATTGTCATAACCTAAAATTTTGACCCGAGACGTTTCATTGAAGGCTGTCACTGAAGGTCTTGCAGGTTCTGTCATTACTGTTGGGTTGAAAGTGCCCGACACTCGAAGATGTTTCTCCACGTCGGTTTGTTCAAATCGTGGCGGTAACATGGTGTTACATCGAGTTCAACGGACCTCGTGAACCTGCATTTAGAATCGAACACCAGAAACGAAGTGCGCCAACACCAGACTTGTCATTCGAACCGACACAAACCGTGTGCTTCGCGTCGTAACGTAACTGACTTATTGATCTTCGAGCAAGTTTGCAATCCGCGTGCGATACGCCCTCAGCAACTTCATGTTCCAATTTCACCTCTTTTACCATCCCGCTGCCCCCACCAGAGAATATCGCAACCTTCCATAGAGCATCCTATTGAGTCGCGTGGTATGATCCGATTTCCGACTTTATATAGACGGTATGACCTTTCTTTACAATTATCGGGAATGATGTGGTTCGCACTACCTCGATCGCCAGGGCCGAGATTCGACCCCTAGGGTTAAAATCTTGAGCTCCCAGCTATACCGTCGAACAATGCCATACCGATTTCGAGCCGTACGAGCGCCAACATGTTTAGAAAGCCTAGCGACGTTCGCGGGAAGCAGCGTTTGTCAGGGGCGGACAGAAAGAAGCTTCGGCGAAACATTCGAGACAAGTTTCCAGGCACCACTGACGAGCAGCTGGAGGCGATCCTGCCGGCAAAGGTGCTTCTTAGTAGCTTCCCGCTTTAACCTCGCATTACCCCGCGGTTATCGTCCACGTAGGCCACCTCAACGCGAGTTGAATCCTCGCCGTTTTTTGAACCACTTCGTCCTTAATCCGCTTTGATGCTTACGCTCGCCGGATTCCGTGCTGTCGTTAGTGGTTAAAGAATTTTATTTCCGGCATTTCCAGGCCTTTGTTCACGGAAAGCCGATTGGTTTGTCTGCTGGTCCAGGCTGACGTGGCGGTGACGAGGCTGACGAATCGCGTGCTGGTGTACGGACTCGAGAACGGGCTGCCTATGCTCTTCGATTGCAACTGCAGGGGCAACGAAATATATCCCACTGGTAACCACACGGAGATGTAACCACACAGATACCCATCCTCCACACGCCCCTCGCGTGCTGGTGTACGGACTCGAGAACGGGCTGCCCATGCTCTTAGATTGCGACTGCAGGGGCAACGAAATATATCCCACTGGTAACCACACGGAGATGTAACCACACAGATACCCATCCTCCACACGCCCCTCGCGTGCTGGTGTACGGACTCGAGAACGGGCTGCCCATGCTCTTAGATTGCGACGGCCGCGGCACGGAGATCTACCCCACTGGTAACCCCGCTGACACTCGCGGAAACCCCTCCCTCCCCACCTTCTCTTTCCCTCCCTTCCCGCTCCTTTCCACTGTTCTTCCTCCCAACCCTCGTGCGGGTGTAATGATTTCAGTAGGTTTGATGTTTTCCCCCCTTCCTCCACTCCCATCTTGAGACGTCTTGTACCCAACCCTGACACACCCACACCCTGCAACCTTACACCCCATCGATCCTCAGTGTCTTCGCAGCGAAGCGTGCCCGGCCTGGTGCCATCCCTCCTGCTCAAGTCAAGGGTGAGGAGGTGGCGTTTGAAGCGACTCAAGAGTCAGCTGTCGCACCGATCCTCTCACCCCAACCCTGCATCCCCAACCACTCCCCATCCATGCGCAGTGTTTGCGCTGTGGCGTGTACCCGACCTGCTGCCATCGTTCCTTCTCACGGGCGAGGACGTTTCCCGGAATCTTCTTTCGGGGGCTGACCTTATGGCGCCAGGCGTGGAGGTACGGTGAGGGTATAGTGCAGTGCAGCACCCACCTAGTGCAGTGCGAGCTCTTGTTTCAGAACCTTCTCGCACAACTACCACACATGGTGCTTAACCCTCCCTCCTTTTCCCCCATCACTAACCTCCCTCGCTTCCCTTCTTCCCCACCCCCCTTCTCCCCAAAACCCCGCTGTCCCCCCTGGTCACCACCTACGATGTCCCCCACCTACAATGTCCCTGGCGGCAGGTGCCTGTCGAAGGTTTGCCAGCGTTCCAACCAGGGGAGGTGTGGTCGGTGAAGGTTCCAGGAAACTCCTGCCCCATTGCTGTACGTGTAACGTGCCGCCCCCCTTCCATCACAATGCCCCCCATCCTGCTCCATGCCCCACCTTACTCTCCTTTCTACACCCACTGTTCATGCTCTACATCTCGCCTGACCCTTTGCTCCCTCCTGCTCCATTTTCCGTCCTTTGCATCACATCGCCCTCCAGTGTGGTTGGTCATGACTCGCACATCCGTCACCTTTACCTTTCTACCCTTTGTTTGTCTCTAGTGACGCTGTGTTAATCTATCTGCTTCCAGTCGTCCTTCTTAGCGTCTCCTTCCCTCTGTCCGCGCTCTCGTGTCGGGGCTTCTTGACTTTCGGGCTTCTTGTCTTTCAATCCGTAATTCTTAGCGTCTACTTCCCTCTGCCCGTGTGTGTGTGTGTGTGTGTGTGTGTGTGTGTGTGTGTGTGTGTGTGTGTGTGTGTGTGTGTGTGCGTGCGTGCGCATGTTCGTGTGCGCGTGTGCGTGTGGATGCGTGTGCATGCATGTGCGTGCGTGTGCAGGTGCGCGCGCGGGCGGGTGAGCGTGGGCATGTGTGCGCGTGTGCGTGTGTGTGCGTGTGTGCGCGTGTGGCGTGTGTGCGTGTGTCCGCGTGTCTGAGCATGTGTGCGTGCGTGTGCGTGTGTGTGCATGCGTGCGCGTGTGCGTGTGTGTGTGTGTGCGTTTGTGTGTGCATGTCTGTGAATGTTTGTGTTCACGCACACCAGGTGGGCATCACAATGTTGGGGAGTGAAGAGGTTAGCCAGGCAGGCATGAGAGGGAAGCTTCTCAGAATAACCCACTTTTACCGTGACTCGTTATGGTCAGTACGGTTGAAATTTGAGGTGCTCGGCTAAAAAAATTACCTCACTACCACGGGCTCCTCCAAATATCATTGTGAATCTTTATTGGTCAGTATGACTGACAACCAGTGTTCTCATTCAGCGTGCTCCTAGTGGAGCGTCGCACTATGGTGACGGCCTGTTTTCTTGTCACCCAAGCGATCTCGAAAGACAACAGATTCCAATTGTCACCCGAGCTTACGCCAGCACTCTCTCATCCCCCAATGGCTGGTCTGGGGTCAAGACGACCCCTACAAATATTCAAGCCCCTACAATGATTGGCCTCTGTCCCCCTTTGAGTGGTCTGTGATTTTGAACCCAAGGGTCTGTATGTGGTCAAGACCCTAAACCCCTGTCTATTAATGGTCAACCTAACTTCACCGCCAGCCGCCCATGGTCTGGTGGTCCAACATGGGTTGACCCATTCTCCTGTCCTGCGGGCACCCTTTCACTTCCTGCCCATTTCAACACTTTGGGTATTCATATCCCATCCTGCCCTCCCATCCCATCCCATCCTGCCCTCCCTGCCATGGTACAGGGAGTCTGCAAGAGGATCATATGTGCCCAACAAGGGCTTCCTGCCAGATATGGTTGCGTCTGACCCTGATGCACAGCCCACACTGTTTGATGCAGCACCTGCTGTTGCACCTGAAGATTCACCTGAAGGTTCACCTGAAGATGACTCTGGTGCTGCTGCAGCTTGTGGAGGAGAGAGTGAGGGTAGGAGTGGCTGGGAGGGAGAGGCAGCAGCGGTGGCTAGGGAGGGACTAGCAGCAGTGGCAGCAGCAAGAGGAGGAGAAGCAGGAGTAGGAGAAGGAGCTACAGCAGAAGCGGCAGCAGGAGCAGAAGGAGCAGCACAAGGAGCAGTAGCAAGAGATTCATCAAAGCACCTGTCAGAGTCTCTGCAGGAGCAGTACATCCATGGCAGTGCTGTTGCTGCTGCTGTTGCTGCTGGTGATGGTGATGCTGCCGAAGCTGCTGCCGCTACTGCTGTTGTGGGCAGGGATGGGTTTATAAAAGCAGCTGGTGCAGGCGAAGAGTGCACACCTGCAGCAGCACCGTCAGCACTGACGCCGGCACAAATGGATGAGCTGTTGGATCTCTGTCTGCTGCAAGCCCTCTCCGTCTCTGTCAAGCCCTCTCAGTCTCTGTCAAGCCCTCTCACCTGCCCCTCCCAACTAGCTCCCTCTGGTAAGCTGTTTGAAATCAATCGTCTCATTTCATGTGATGTGATCATTTCTTGGTCCTTCAGCCCTCCTGTTCTCTTCACCACAGGTGACTGCGCATGGGAGAAGAGTGGCGGCTTACATTGCGTGTAGCCACTTATTTCCCGCAAATGTCATAGCTCACTGCAGTTGGCATGGCATGACATATCCGCGCGTGGTCTCATGTGTCAGGTACAAAGTGCATGTCATGTCAGTCATGTCATCCGTTGCTGTCCTGCCACCATGCTATTGGTTCTGGCAGGTCCAATCACGTGCTGCCATGTCGGCCGCCCGGCACCACAGTGGACATCAAGAAGTCGTCTCACAAGAAGCTGAGCAAGTGGTTGCATGTCAAGGCTGTTGACGGGCTAGTGGGTGTCTCTGAATGATGGAGTTGTGACAGTGAGTGAGCTTGTAAATGTATGTGTTTAGGTTTTTGGGTAAATCGGTGTGTTTGATAGATTGGGTGATTGAGTGTGTATACGTTTCTTTATTGTGATTTCATCACTTCTACTTATGCTCATTCCGTCTACCCTGTGCATCTACCAATCCTTCGCACCTTGACAGTCAGAATGCTTTCCACTTTGCTTTACTAAACTGCACTGCACGTACCCGTGTGAAAAAAACGTATCAGCCTGGAAATACAAAATCACCTCTACCATCAACCACACATGGCATAAACCCAACCTTCCCCTTGCGCCCATCTTTTTACCTCTGCACATGCTCAGATATGCGGCAAGGAGGACAAGCACCGCAGGGAGTTCATCATCTCGGCTATCAACCACCCATGGCATGTTCCCGCCTGTACCATCCACCCCTCCCCGTTGCACCCATCTACCCCCCTCACAGATATGCGGCAAGGAGGACAAGCACCGCAGGGAGTTCATCATCTCGTCTATCAACCACCCATGGCATGTTCCCGCCTGTACCATCCACCCCTCCCCGTTGCACCCATCTACCCCCCTCACAGATATGCGGCAAGGAGGACAAGCACCGCAGGGAGTTCATCATCTCGTCTATCAACCACCATGACTGATAATGACACGTGTTTGCGCCTCTTCTTGTTGTCACGTACTGCAGGACAGGTGCTGCTGGTGAGGGAAGGAGAGGCGAATTGGGCGGAAGGAGTACACAGGGGCATAAATCAGAGTGAGGAAGGGGGAGGTTGACGATTGACAGGTGATGCAATCGGTCATGGAAAAGCAGCGTCCAGGTTCATTGGAGCATGGGAGCATGGGAGCACGGGAGCATGGGAGAATCAGAGAATGGGAGCATGGAGAAAGCATGGGGAAAGACAGGGGAGCACTAGAGGAATGGAGCAAGCAAGCAATGGCTCACCTGAAAAGGAAAGAATGGGAGAAGGAGATTAGGGTGCACGGGAGCAAAGAGGGTGATGGTGCATGGGAGAACGGGCCAACTGGTGAGGGGATCATGAGATCAAGAAGCATGGGAAGATGGGAGCAAAGGAGTATGGGAGAATGGGATCATGGGAGCCAGCCAGGGAGCAGCGGAAAAAGAGAACATGGGAGTGCCAGAGAGCAGTAGGCCATTGGGGGAGAATACAGTGTGCCGAAACGGGGCAGCAGAGGAGGGCGGGGGAAAAGTGCTGTTGGAGAGGGAGTGGGAAAAGAGGAAGTGGAGGGGAAGAGAGGGGGAGGGAGACGAAGAGGTAAAGAGAGATGAGGGAAAGGGGGTCTGGCTTCATTGCCAGATCCACGCAAGCAGCCGAAGCGCCAAAATGAGCCAAGCCGCACCGTGCCGAGCCGTGCCGAACCGAGCCGGCAGCTTGCCCGGCTTCTGGCTGGTCGGACGGAGGCAAGCCGGGACGAGCTGGTCTCAGCCAGTACAGCACACTGCCGACTGCCGGATCCGCACAGAACAGGAGTTTCATCACCAGATCCACGCAAACACAGCAATTCACGGTCAATTTGACATGAGCGGATCTGGGAAGTTAAGACGAGATGCATCGGCTCGTCTTCAAACTGACAGCTCATCAAGCCGGGCGACGGCTTGTCGGATCAGCTTCGGCGAGCTGAAGAGCTGGGTCACGGCTCGCCGAGCCAGTTCGGCTTGAAGTGGTCATGCTCGGAGAGATACGAATGACTATCTTACCATGAATGAACACATGGTACCCTGTCATGAGCACCCCATCAAAGAACTTGCATTCACACTCGAGCTGCCGTCGATCCTTCAGGGCGAAGCACGGTGCGTCAAGCAGTATTAGTGAACCTAATGAAACTTACGAATGGACTCTTTGAAGGGCATGAACCACGTCGCACTAATCTCTGCCCTTGCACGCCCGCAATGCCTCAGCCCCGCTGGAAGCGCAGGCAATGACAATCGGCAGGCTTGCGCTATCCCATCACATCCTCTCTTCCTTCATCCCCTCTTCTCCCTTCCTCCTCCTTTCCTCACAGCTCTCACAGCTGGTAGCGGTTGCCTGTTGGCATGGGAGAAGGAATCGAGTGAGGGGAAAGGGGGGAGAGGGCGAAGAGCGGAGGGACGTACTGGAGAGCGAGGGGGGAGTGGAACATAGCTGATGGTTTTTCTCTGGCCAGCAAAATTGCACCCGAAGCGCAATAGTGGTTTTTGATAGACAAAAGGCGCAAAGGAGGGCCGCACGGTTGCAACTACAAATGAATGGAAAGAGGTTTATGACGAGATCGAGAACAGCAGCCCTTCATAAATTCACACCATTTGGGTGGGATAGGAAGACGGTCTCGTCACATCCTGCTCAGCTTCTCTACCTCCTCGCCCTGCCGCCGTCAGCTGAGAGACCGTCAGCTGAGAGACCGTCAGCTGAGGCGGCGCGCATTCATTCAACCTGCTGCCACAACTCAGCCATGCGCCCACCCAAATCAATGGCAAATGCGGCGGCGGGAGCCATCGCTAGAATTGCGTTGAAGATAGTGTGAGGAAGGGACGATTATGTTTCGCCGTCACGCTTTTTGACACACCCACGGTGGAAAGTCGCGCATCGCAAAATCAGGGCGGCCTCGTTTCTGCGACCAATTCTAAGCACGTAACCCTAATACTAACGTCGCGCGTCGCCCCTTTCGTGGTCAGTGGCGACATAAAGGCTGTGCGAAATGACAGCGATATCTCCCATCTCGTCACCGATCTATACTCTGGTGGCGCATGTATTTGCGCGTTCGTAGCGAAGAACTCCTAAGAACGGACCTGATGAGTTGCTGCGCGAATCTCGCTCTGGCGACAGCGGGGATGGTAGCTCATGCTGTGGAGTTACTGGAAGTGCTGAAGGCTTGTTCACTTTCGGGTAGCAAATACGGGGTTGGATAAGGGCGTGTTACATTTTTCATTTTTTCCGTCCGGACGGCCAACCGCCCGGACGATTGTGTGGTTACGAAACTCGTTTAATTTCAGCAGTAAGTTCGTCAGCGTCTAAACGACATCGCATTCTTCGTGATGCCTCCTCACAACATCGCATTGGTCGCAACGTGACCGTGCGACGTCGCAATATTCGCACGCGTCCGGACAGCCGTCCGGACTTTCAGCGACTTCAAAAAATGTAACACGCCCTAAGCGGCCGGGTTCGTTCGGACAGGACGCAAAAGGTTCATTGTGGTGGCGGTTTGAAAGTGAGTGATCCTGAACATTTGGTGCTCAATGTTGAATGGCAGAAATCCAGAACTCGAAGTTCATCTCGTTGTTTTCTGTAACACCTTGTTACCAAACCTTGCAATTAACGAAAAACTTCTCCGCATGAGGAGTAGAGGCTACACAAACAAAATCCCAGTGTTGATGATGGTTCGTTCACAGGAACGAAAGAGGGATTTGCTTAGCACCTAGCTCAGCCACTCTGCATAATTGAATGACCTTTTGTAAACGCACAGCACCTGATCAAGCCGCACCCCTTGACCTTTGGATCGTCATACTTCTGATCCCGTCGGTAGCCATGAGACTGAATTAGAGCAGTAAGCACATCATGGAGCAGCTAAATGCTAGCTAAAATAGCAGCTCGAGGCATCATCCACTGAAAGCGTTTCCCGATAGTCTTCAGATTTCGATTATCAAATCCGTACACGCGACACGTTTCGCGTCACTAGCCAGTTAGGGTTAGCGAGGATTCAGGCATACACAAGAGCTCAACAAAATCGACGTAGGCAACGGAAAGGAATTCATGAACTCATACGTCGCCTCGCATAGATCAGCCCGCCGATCGCTATGGCTAGTCCTACCTCATATGTCACGGCCATTTGTCGGTTCGATTTCCGGATTCATTACCTATGGGATACGTCAAGCACACCGAATCGCATCGCGATCTTACGTTTCTTCCTTGCCAATCATCGATCGGATCGGATCGAATCCGAACGACCATGCGGGAAACCCGTCTCTTCAAATCCAAAACCCAGGCCGAAGCTTCGAGGCGCCCCATAATAATTTCTCATCCCACGTCCGAAGCTTCGCGGCATGGTCCGTCGCTGGTGCGTCGTCCAGGCCAGCAGACGCAGAAGCTTCTGAGGCGGAGGCTGCTATTTCTGGGTCGAAATCACTTTCTAGGACCAAACCTTTAGTAGCGGTGCAAGCGGAGCTTCAAACGCGTTCAGTGAAGGGCAAGGAGAGGGGGAGTGGAAAAGAGAGTCAGGGGAGCATCAGGAGAGTGGGGGACGAGGAGGGGGGAGAAACGGGAGGTGAAGATGTGAGCGATGCAAGGAGAGCAGGGAATGTGGGGGGAAAGAGTGAGGGAGGCGGGAGCAAGAGCTGCAGGACGAAAGGCTGCAAGGAGGAGGAGGAAGAGGCAGTGGCAGTGATTGCTGGAGTGCTGAGGGAGAAATTCGGGCCTCAGATTGTGAAAGAGGAGTTGGAGGAACGGGGGAGTGGGATAGGAAGCAGCGAAGGCGAAGAGGGGGTGGGGAGATTGAAAGTGGAGGAGGGGGACGATGAGGAGGAGGAGGAAGTGGAGGAGGAGGAGGAAGCAGAAGTAGAACCGTGTGAAGAGAACGCACCACCCACCACATCTCCTTCCACACCCCCTCCTCCACTCAACAGCCGGCGGGTCGTATCTCGCTCCTCCCTCCTCTCCCTCTACCGCTTTTTCTCCTCCCACCTCGGCATTTCCTCCCCTTCCATTGTCTCTTCCCTCCTCGCCACTTACCCGCAACTCCTCCGCTCCAATCCCACCAATGATTTTCTCCCACGTGTCCGCCTTCTCCAGTCATATGGCATTTCCGATGCTGACATCGCGCACATGACTTTGAGTAACCCAGCCTGGCTCCGCTCCTCCCTGCCACAGATTCAGAATATGCTTGAGCTTCTTTTAGGTAAAGGCATTCGCCGTAGCAGATTGGGTCTGGTGCTCCGACGTGGTCGCAACTTACTCTGCCGTGAAGCACGTTCAACGAACCTGGACATTCTGGTGGAGAAGGCAGGGGTTCCTGTGGACAAGCTGGGTGGGATTATAGAGAAATGCCCGTCCATCTTGGCTCGGAGCAAAGAGACGATGAATACGCAACTTGAGATGCTATCAGCCTATCTCAAGGCGAAATCTGGACGGAAGGTAGAAGCGGGTATCACCAGTAAAAGCCCCCTGAAGCAGCGACTAGATGAGCCGCATCTGGACAAGAGCCACCTTAGCAGGCTTATCCTGAACTTTCCAATAATTTTCTCATATTCTCCCTATCGCATTGCAGAGAATATCGCCATACTCCAGTCCTTCACTCCCCCAGGCTCGTCCTCCATTGCAAGCTCTGTGCTTCGTCGTGGCCCCAACATCATCGGTTTCAACAAAGAAACTCTCTTAGCTAAGCTCCAGTTCTTTGTGGAGCTGGTGGGGGAGGAGGCAGCAGGGAGAATGGTGAGGAGCTTCTCGCAGGTTCTTTATCTATCCAAGGAGAACGTGGAAGGCAAGGTGGCGGTATTGGCTGATTTGATTGGCCAAGAGAATGCTTTGCGGGTGGTGGCACAATTTCCTTTGCTACTAGCTTCTAGTGAAGATGTCATGAGGGAAACTTTTAGAGAGCTTGTGCGAGAAGTGGAAGAAGAATTACGGAGCAGTGGAGAAGTGGGAAATGGGACGCAAAGGTTGGGGGAAGGTAATGGAGGTAACTGTTTGGAAGGGGAAAATGATTCCCGAGCACTTAGTGTCAAGAGACGCAGGGCTCATCGGTTGGTTGTGGATTTGGTTATGAGGTACCCGCCGTCTATCTGTTACAGTTGGAATACGAACATCAAGTCCAAGGTGGAGTACTTAAAACGGGACATGGGGCTCTCTGTAATGGAGGTGCTTCCTTACCCAACATTTCTTGGGTACAGTTTGGATCGGCGAATCAGACCGCGACATCTGGCACTGGTGCGAATGGGTTATGCGGTTGTGGCACATGAGATTGCTATTCAGACGAGTGTTGGGGACAGGAGGGGTGTTTCAATAGGAGCTGGGAAAGAGAGGAGCAAGCTGGGTTCTGTGTCTGACAAAGTGGAGGGGGTAGAGGGGATTGAATGGGGAGCGGAAGAAGGGAAGAGTGGGCCGTTATATGGGGTTGTCGCAGGCAATGATGAGCCAGGGGAAAGAGTAGTTACAGAGCGGCAGCTTCTGGATTTGGAGGGGTCAAAGAAAAGGGTGTGCTTGCAGCAGTTTCTCCTATGTACAGACAAGCAGTTTGACGAGAAGTTTGGGGTCAAAGTGTAGGGGTGCTGCTGATATGCGCTTCTTCGGCTTCCAATGTGCCCGGGGCCTAAGAGTTCATGCCTGAGTGTGAGGGTGTGTGGCAATGCCTGAGTGTGAGGGTGTGCGCCAATGCCTGATGTCTGTGTGTGTCTCTCCTCATTAGCCCCTCTTTTTAGAAATCACCATTGCATCAACCACTGTGGGGGGGATGGGGACGGGGAGAGGGGAGTGATAGCAGGGGGAACTGATAGCTGATGGAAAGTGATTGCGGCAGGGGCAGCAGGGGGACCTATTCTATGGGCTCTGCTTTTCTCTCTAGTTTTGTCTTTTTTTACTGGTGCTGGAGGGGAGGAGGGGGGACAGCATGGGGACCTATTCTATGGGCTCTGCTTTTCTCTCCAGTTGTTTTTGTTTACTGGTGCTGGAGGGGAGGGGGAGGGGGATTACCAGAACTAGCAGCAGCAGCAGCAGCAGTAGCAGGAGCAGGAGAACGAGGAGGGGGGAATAGTGTGAGTGCTACAGCCTTGTTGCTGGGTCCTCTGTTCTGTAGCTGCCAGATGGGACTGGAGGGGATGTAGCTGCTACAGCTGCGACTGCTACAGCTGCGACTGCTACAGCTGCGACTGCTACAGCTACCACGGCTACAGCTGCCACGGCCTTACCTCTTCTGGACCTGCTACAGCTGTTCCTGTGGGTGGCGGTGTAGCCAGCCATAGCAGAGCAGCTTCTGTTCAGAGGGTTGCTTCTCACAGCCCTGCAGGAGTGGCTCGGCAGGTGAGAGGCATGCTGTTGAGAGGCTCGGAAGGGAGGTTTGGCAATGCCGCGCCTCCACCTGCTGCTCTTTTTGGGTTTGGTCATTTCCACACGTCCCCATGCACACACTCTTTCCCAGCAATCCAGTTCCACTTTATTGTTTTCTTCTTACCCTTGCCTGTCATGGTACATCTCAGCCTGTCATGGCACATCTCAGCCAGTCATGGCACATCTCAGCCTGTCATGGCACATCTCAGCCAGTCATGGCACATGTCAGCCAGTCATGGCACATCTCAGCCTGTCATGGCACATCTCAGCCAGTCATGGCACATCTCAGCCTGTTATGGCACATCTCAGCCAGTCATGGCACATCTCAGCCAGTCATGGCACATCTCAGCCAGTCATGGCACATCTCAGCCTGTCATGGCACATCTCAGCCAGTCATGGCACATCTCAGCCAGTCATGGCACATCTCAGCCAGTCATGGCACATCTCAGCCAGTCATGGCACATCTCAGCCTGTCATGGCACATCTCAGCCAGTCATGGCACATCTCAGCCAGTCATGGCACATCTCAGCCAGTCATGGCACATCTCAGCCTGTCATGGCACATCTCAGCCAGTCATGGCACATCTCAGCCAGTCATGGCACATCTCAGCCAGTCATGGCACATCTCAGCCAGTCATGGCACATCTCAGCCTGTCATGGCACATCTCAGCCAGTCATGGCACATCTCAGCCAGTCATGGCACATCTCAGCCAGTCATGGCACATCTCAGCCTGTCATGGCACATCTCAGCCAGTCATGGCACATCTCAGCCAGTCATGGCACATCTCAGCCTGTCATGGCACATCTCAGCCAGTCATGGCACATCTCAGCCAGTCATGGCACATCTCAGCCTGTCATGGCACATCTCAGCCAGTCATGGCACATCTCAGCCAGTCATGGCACATCTCAGCCAGTCATGGCACATCTCAGCCTGTCATGGCACATCTCAGCCAGTCATGGCACATCTCAGCCTGTCATGGCACATCTCAGCCAGTCATGGCACATCTCAGCCAGTCATGGCACATCTCAGCCAGTCATGGCACATCTCAGCCTGTCATGGCACATCTCAGCCAGTCATGGCACATCTCAGCCAGTCATGGCACATCTCAGCCTGTCATGGCACATCTCAGCCAGTCATGGCACATCTCAGCCAGTCATGGCACATCTCAGCCAGTCATGGCACATCACAGCCTGTCATGGCACATCTCAGCCTGTCATGGTCCATCTCAGAACTGAAGTCAAGAAGTCAAAGCGAATCATGCTAGTCAACTCAAGTCAGCAGGCCATGTCATGTTTGACTAACTCACCTTCCTGCACTATCCCCCTTCCTGCCTCTCTCTCCCTCAGGATCGACACTGCTATGCTCTCTGCAGCCCTCTTCGCCCTCTTCCACCTCTCCCTCTCGCTCCTCTTCTCTTCCCCAACATGGCCCTTGGGATTGCCGCCGGCCTGCTCGCCGTCTACTCCAATAGTGTGCTGCCAGCTGTTGCACTGCATACCACTTTCGTTACAATGCATCTGCCCTTCTCTATGCACTCATGGCTATGGTTGCTGCTTCTGCTTGAAGAGCTAGTTTCCACGTGAATTTTAGAAGCCAGATACTGTTGGCCAAGAATCAAGTAGAGATTTACTGTTGTTCCTCTGTGGACCACATTACAGCTAGTGGAGAAGCTACAGCGAAAGTAGTAAGATACTGTCTGTCTTTGTGTTTCAAGTCCACATTGGGTAGAATTTGCTCCTGAGACAGAACATAACACGGTAAGGCTTGAGGTGGCTGTGGGCAAAAGGGAGCCTCCCTATCTACGGTAGTATTCAGGAGCGTACAGCGGGGATCATGGTCACACAAACACCCAGCAGTATTCATTCCAATATGGCATCAAACTAAAACAGCTAAACTACTGACGCAGGGCATGTGGTTGCTGTGACCCGTGCCCAAGAGGCCATACGTGAGTGTGAGGGAGCAAGTGAGCCTGTGTGTGCCAATCGCAACGCCCCGACCAGCCAGCCACTCCCGGCAGTGCTCCCGAACCTTGGGTGCACTTCGAGCCTCGTGTATGATGAAAACCATGTCGTTGATGCGACTCTGTAGCGGGTACACCGGCCCATACCCCGCTCCACCGCTGCTGCTGCTGCTGCTGCTGCCGCAGCAGCTGCTGCTGCTGCTGGCGCTGGCAATAGCGGCAGAGGTGAGAGCTCTTGCTGCCACACCCCCCTGGGTGGGTTGAGGCTGGAAGTGCCAATGGCAACCTGAAAGGACAGGTGCAGCCTGTGACATGCCACATTGAAGAGAACCTTCCTGGAAGGTGGGGAAATGCACGAGCATGGGGGATAGGGGAGTTGGCACATGGAATCTGACATGGGTACAGTGAGCTTTAAGTCGACTCAAGCTTGTCTCATTTCCAGCAGTGGGGATACATGAGTTAGCACATGGGAACCTGGCAAGGGTACACTGAGTCAAAACCGGGCAAAAATGCAATCTTACTTATGATTGACGACTCATGTTAATACACGTACCTATGCTTGTCTGACAACTGTGTGTGAGAGCACGTGCACGGACAACAAACTACTAAAAGTAACACAGTTGTCTAAGTGACTTACTTATGCCCGTCTGACAGCATGTGGAGGAGTCGGTCGATCTGCTCCTTGGGCAGCTTCACCGATTAACCGACTCATTCACAAGCCTGGAAGATATTCTTAGAAAACACACACTTACCGATGCGAGCATAGCTACTTGTGCTAAGTGATTTACTTATGCTCGTCTGACAGCATGTGGATAAGGCGGTCAATGTGCTCCTTTGGCAGCTTCACCGATCGGGACATGTGAAGGTCAGGGAGAGATTCGACAGCTTGACAGCAGTGTGGGTGTAGACCCTCAGTGCTGCTCCAATCACCTGTGGACACGTGTGCAGATGATGGGAGGAGGGGGAACAGGAAAGTGGGAAGTTTGGGGAGAGACACGGGCGGAGGAACGAGAATCCAAACACAAGGTTGGGGAAAGTGAGGTTCGGAATTATGGTTGGACGAAGCGAGGTTCGAGAACAGGGTTGGGTGAAGTGTGGTTTGGCGAGACTTCAGCCCCGCGAGATTGTTTCTCAACTCCTTAACACACGTACCTCAACTTTCGAGAAATTTTACACTCCAACTACTACACAGCGTTTCTCGCGTCATCCATATCAGCGGGCGTCAGGATGTACTTGATCCGGTCCAAGGGCCCCTTCTCCGCCAGCAAGGCTGCTACGCTGGCGTAGATCCGCACGGCTGGCAGGTACAGGAAGTTGATCACCTCTAATGCAAATCCACCAGAACTCTGCCACTTCCACACGCCGCCTGTCGGTGTCGGGCGGAGAATGGCAAAAAGGGGAACATCAGCTGGTGGGTAGATCTGCACGGCTGGCAGGTGCAGGAAGTTGATCACCTCCAGTGCCAGGTCGAATTCCCGTTCCACCAAGAACTTTGTCACTTCCACGCTGCGCCTAATGGTGGGGGAGAACGAGAGAAAAGCAGGGACATAATGAGCCAGTGAGTATGCTGTGCACGGCTGTGGTGAATCCACACAGGTGCAGGAAGTTGATCACCTCTGATGCCAGGTCGAATTCCCGCTCCACCAGAACTCTGTCACTTCCACACTGCGCCTGTTAGTGTGGGAGGAGAAAGGCAAAAAGGGGAACGGAATATTGCGGTGGGTGGATCTGCACGGCTGGCAGGTGTAGGATGACATTGCCCCAATACATCCAAACACATTCCCATACACACACGTTCCCAAAGGCAGGGAGTTGATCACCTCTGATGCCAGGTCGAATTCCCGCTCCACCAGAACTCTGTCACTTCCACACGCTGCCTGTCAGTGTGGGGAGGGAAAGGCAAAAAGGGGAAAGGGATGTTGCACATCAGCTGGCAGAGAGATCTGCACAGCTGGCAGGTGCAGAGCACCAAATCAAATTCACGCACCAGGAACTTTGTCACTTCTGCTCGCCGCCTGTCAGTGGGGGAGGAGAACAGCAAAAAGGGGAAAAGGAATATTGCACATCAGCTGGTGGGCAGACCTGCTTGGCTGGCAGGTGAAGGATAACATTCCCCCAACACACCCGAACACATTCCCATACACACATTTTCCCAAATACACTCCCTCTCACACACCTAAAGAACCACTCACTTGTTTGTCCGGAAGTCATTACGAGCACCAAACAGCGCCACACTTTAAAGCGCCTTCCTGGCAGCCCC